TGTGTATTTTCACCAAAAAAAAAAAAAGGTTGAGAAGTTAGAGGGTTGACATGTTGTGGGGTTGTTAACCAATGTCATAAAACAATATGTGTATTACTGTTGAGAAACTATTTGTTCTGTAAGCCTTCACCTGAAGTACAATAAAAAAAAAAAAAGTATCCTGGGGCATCCACTTTTAAGCATTCAGGCTTCCCCATTCCCAGCATGGCCATGTTTCACCCCTGCTTCGGCTAGAGAAAGCCACAGGCATCCACATCCTGTGCTTAGAACCCCAGTGTGTCAGAGTTTGAATGAAGCCTGGGTCTTACCTAATCCAGTTCTCCACAATTTAAAGATGAGAAGCCAAGACTCAGTAAAACATGCTTCTCCGGGTCCTCCCTCCCTTTTTGTGACTGTGAGCTGGCCTCAGGAGAATAAGCATATTAGATTCTGTCTTCTAGGCCTGTCTTGCCCCAAAGAAATTTTTCCTCCAACCATTGTAGCTGATGTCTGCTTTTAAGCTTACTTTCATAAGTCACCATCAAAATCTATCTGTCCTGGGTTCTAGTCCCTCTTCTCTCGCCAGCTGGTGTGGAGGCAACCAGACAGACAGGCCTTTACGCAGAATTATCCCACAGTAGTGGATTCGATGATTGGCCCAGCCTCCTTCTTGGAGCCTACAGGCCTCACAAGCAACCAGGCAAAGAAACAGTGTCTGGGGCCTATCATCTCTGTTTGATCCCTCTGTCACAGATTCTAATTCTTCAACAAATACCTTGTAAGATTATAGTTAAAATGTATTGGGCACGCATATGTGTCAGGCCCACTGCTAAGAGGTTATGCGTTCTCTCATTTAATCCTCACAGTAACCCATTCAGATAGGTACCATTCTTATACTCATTTTGTGGATGACTAAATAGGCTCAGAGAGGTTAAGTAACTTGTCCAAGATCACACAGCTAATAAGTAGAAGAGGCAGGATTTGAACCCAGGTCTGGCTGACTCCAGTGCTCAAGTTTTTAGGAATAAAAAGTCTTCTGGTTTAAAATGAAAAATTGTTTTCTCCTTTCATTCCATGCCTGGCTGCAGTCCCAGGAGGAAGTCTGTGATTTGCTCCATGCTGCACCTTTCCAGAACATCTTGCCTAGAGTCTACATCAAAGGTAAGAAACCACTAACAACAACTGAATGTAGCCAGCATGCATTTGAACTTCGTGTTCAGTTCTTCATCCCAGTAAACTCTGATCTGCATTTAGAAAGGAAGAAGGTTAAAGCTTTGGGCAGCTGTTGTATATTCACAGAATTGCAGAATTGGAAATTACACTGTAGGCCTTATTCCTTGTTCCTTCTAGAACATCCCTAGTACATTGCTATTTAGCCTTGATTTAAACTTCTCAAATGATAGGGAACTCACCACCCCACAAGACAGACAACTCCACTGTTGTATAGAGATAATAGAAAACTTCCATATAGTGAGTCCTAATCATACTTTCCAGAGCCAAGAAGAACAGTTCCACTCCATTAAGTTTTGAAATAGAGACGTATTGCCAGGTCCTCTGAGCGTTTTTCTTCCCCAGCCCTTCTTACCCCTAGTGTGCCCTGAATCTCATGTTCTGCTTTGCTGCTTCAATTGCAGAGGGGGAGCGCCTGGAGGTCCGGATGAAACGCTTGGAAGCCAAGTACGCCCCACTTCACTTGGTTCCTCTGATAGAGAGGCTGGGAACCCCTCAGGTACGAACCCTATATCATGGACTTTAGAGGTACTTTAGAGGAAGAGGATTTGTTCTAACTCTCTCATTTCGCAGGTGGAGAAACTGAGGCCCGGAGAGGGGGAAAAGAGTGTCCAGTACCACAAAGCCTTTTAGTGGCAGGGGCAGGTCTGGAATGAGGTTTGCTAACTCTCAGGCCTAGTTCTTTCTTGTACACCCTGTGTCATTTTTCCTGCCAAGAAAGAAGGAAGTCACCTCATTTAAACAAGTATCTATTATGCCCCTGATAGCTATCAAGAATTCTGCTAAGTTATCTCTCAAAATTAAAACTTCACACACCCGCTACACCAGAAGTTCATTTCTGGATATCTTTGCTAGACAAACACTCACAGGAATATGAGATGTTAACTGTAGAATTGTTTGCTAAAGCAAAACCTGGAAACAGGTTAAATGTCCATCAGTAGAGGGGTTGACTAAATAAAATTTGGTATAGTCATCTACAGGAGTCCCTGGGTGGCGCAAATGTTGAGCGCTTGGCTACTAACCAAAAGGTTGGAGGTTTAAATCCACCCAGAGGCACCTCGGAGGAAATGCCTGGTGGTCTACTTCCAAAAGATAACAGCCATTGAAAACCCTATGGAGTGCAGTTCTACTCTGACTTGTATGGAGTCACCTTGAGCTAGAATTGGCCTGAAGGCAACTAGTTTGGTTTGGTTTTTTATATTCATCTAAATGCTGAATACTTGGCATATAATTAAATAGAAAAATTAGATAAAGACACATCAATGTCGATAGGTCTCAAAAACATGGTTGAGTGAATTAATAAGCAAGTTGCACTACAGTTCATACAGTATGATACCACTTGTATTTTTTTAAAAATGTATGTAGTAAGACCATATAGGTAAATCTTTTTCTAAAAAACATCTGGAATGATATACACCTAGCTCATAATGGTGGCAACGTCTGAAGAGAGAGGTAAAGGAGACATAGGTTGGGGAGAGGGTATCAAGGAAGATTTCAGCTTTATCTGTAATGTTCTAATATTTTTTAAAGGTCAGTGGCTCATGTGTTAATTCTATAAATAAAATTCATTTTTTAAAAAACCATACCAGTCACCATGAATGAGATGAGTAAGACAGGACCTCTGGATTCAGAGAACTCACAGACTGTAAATGGAGGCAGGAAGGAAGAGAGTTGGAGGAAAGAGAAGCAACAAAAAGAATGTGCTATCCCCTCAAACTGATTTAAGCAAGCTTCACATTTTGGGGGTTCCAGGGGAAGAGTTCAGAAAGGAGAGAAACAGGACACCATCATGAGACAAGCCAGGGTCATTTGTTTCACTAGCCAAATCCAACTGTTCAAGAGATTTAGGATTCATTTGAACCCACCCTAAGGCACTTCAGAAGAAAGGCCTGGGGATCTACTTCCAAAAGATCACAGCCATTGAAAACCCTATGGAACACAGTTCTACTCTGACCCACATGGGGTCGCTGTGAGTCAGAATCCACTCCACAGCAACTGGTAAAAATCTCAGAACTGGGGATACAGCAATGAAGACCACAGACCAAAAATTTAGGATTCAAATCCTGTCTTAAACTTGCATCCTGGTGGTCCTCTCCACTGTTCTCACAGTGGCATACAAGCCAGAAGGACCCATGTCCTGGGCCAAGGGAAAAAGGCAGTCTGTCCTCTCCCAAAGCATAGCAAGTATTTGGACCACATTGCAGATTCCCATCTTCCTGGATATCACACTGATGAGGCCACCCCATCCGGGTCCTCTGCATGCCACCAACCTCCTACTGAAAGCAGTGACTAGACGCTAAGTGGTGATTGGGCTCTTTGAGTCACCGCAGAGAGAATTCAGATGCTGTGTAGTGAGCACATTTTCTTCTTAGCCTTCAGGAGCTGCACAGAAAAGATCATCTAAAATGATTTCCTTTTAGGGAGAAATCCCCCAAGCCAGTGACATATAAATGTGTCTGCTCTTCCACTGGTGTCATCCCATAAGAATCTGGCCCCTAGCACCCAAGGTTTGGTATGTGTTCCCATTTAGAAGACTGAATTCCTTTCATGTTCTGATGAACACCATTTCCTAGGGACTGATAGAAATCTTAATTCATCAAATGCTCAGTATTTGATAGAACTCCTAGACATTCTAAGAAAGAGGAAATGCCAGTTTTATGTCTCTCGTCTCTCAAGAAATAATGCAAAACTTTGTTATTTTTGTCAGCCAAAGAAAAAATACTAACTTTCAAGCTAGCTGGGGCTCAGGGGGCTCATATACTCTCTAGGTCAGTGACGGAGGATCTCTGCTACGTATTTAAAGCTGGGAAGCTTGAACTGAATTGTGCTGTTTGCATTGGGTTCTAGGACAGATGGCCCCTCCTTACCTTTTCATCTTTGCTTTAGGGTTAATGTTGACTGTTTGGTCTCATATTGTTATATAAAGCACTTTTTCAAAGCAAAAAAGAAAATGCCAGATAAATGAAAAGAAAAAGGATGTGGAAAAAAACTCAGAGCATAAAAAATATAAATGCCAATGAACATAAGAAAAAAAAAATCAGACTTGCTAGAAATCAGTGGAACACGAATGAATGAGATGTAATTTTTCATCTCTCAAGTTGGCAAAGAACTTTTTTTAATGATAATAGAGTATTGATGAGGGTGCAAGGAACAGGAATTACAGGTAAATACACAGTAGCCCAGCTTTTTGAAACGAGTTTGCCACTATGTAGCAAGAGCCTTAAAATATTTGTACTTTTGACCTAGTAATTCTACTTCTAAGGATTTAGCCTAAGAAAATAATCAGATGGGCTCAAAAATTTTTATGTATGAGGATGGTTGTTTTAGAATTGTACGCAATAGTGAAAAGTTATAACCAACTTAAAATACCAACAAGAGTAGAGGGCTAAATAAATTATGATATATCAGGGCCATTTTATGTAGCCATTAAAAAATTATGTTACTGAAAATATGGCATTCAAAAAATATTTTTTAAATTATTGATATATTAAGAGAAAAAAGCAATCTGGATAATATCCAAATTTTGTTAAGTAGATATGCATACACATGCTCATATACATAAACACAAACAAATCATACAGCAGTATTTTTAGAAAGCTTACCTCTGGGTAATTGGATTTATGAGAGATTTTTATTTTCTTCCCAATAATTTCCAAATTTTACCCAATGACTACGTATTACTTTTTATAGCTTAAAGAAAAAAAAAAAAAACCTGTGAGAGGAAACACTTTTTCAGAGAAAGGGACAAAGCCCCTAACCATTTCATTCAAGGCCCCTTTGGTTGGCTGTAGTGGGTGGGTTCACCAGAGTTCAGGGTCTGTCTGCAGATTTGTTTACTCAGTTGCTAATTTTTCCAGTTGCCCCCAGGATTGTCAGCCTCCAAGAATTGATTCAGACTAACCAGATACTTGGGAGATTAGTTCATGGACCAGAACTCTCTGTACTGATTGATTTAAGAATGAGAATATTTATGACTTGAGAACAGATACAGGTCCTTTATTAGTTACTGAAGTCCCTGGGTGGCGCAAACAGTTTGCATTTGACTTCCAACCAAAAGCTTGGTGATTCAAACCCACCCAGTGATCGCAGAGGAAAAGCCTGATGATCTGCTTCTGTAAAGATTACAGCCAAGAAAACCTTGTGGATCACAATTCTACTCTGTAACACATGGGGTTGCCATGAGTCAGAATGAACACAAAAGTAACGAGTTTTATTGGTTTACTGAGTGTCTTAGTCATCTAGTGCTGCTATAACAGAAATGCCATGAGTGGATAGCTTCAACAAAGAGAAATTTATTCTTTCACAGTCTAGTAGGTTACAAGTCCAAATTCAGAGTGTTAGCTCCAGGGGAAGGCTTTCTCTCTCTGTTGGCTCTGGAGGAAGGTCCTTGTGACGCATCAGTCTTCCCTTGGTCTGGAAGCATCTCAGCGCAGGAACCTCAGGTCCAAAGGACACGCTCTGCTCCCGGCACTGCATTCTTGGTGGTATGAGGTTCCCATGTGTCTCTGCTCACTTCTTTCTTTTATATCTCAGAAGAGATTGGCTTAAGACACGATCCAATCTTGTATACCTCATCAGTATAACTGCCCCTAATCCATCTTTATTAGATCATAGTGATTGAATTTACAACACATAAGGAAATCACATCAGATTACAAAATGGTACACAATTATACATACTGGGAATCATGACCCAGCCAAGTTGACAGATATTTTTGGGGGACATAATTCAGTCTAGGACACTGACCATCTCCCCTGTGCCAGGCACTCTCTTCCGGAAGTGAAGAGCTTTTTCAAGGTCCAAATACCAGCATAGATAGTTGCTTGGGGAGAACAGAAGCAAGCACAGAGTTTGGGATGTTTTAAAAGAGGTATTTCTAGCTAACTGTGGCAATTTGAGTGCTCCCTCCTCAGCCAATGAGTTCTCACTGCCTGTGGAATCAAGATGAGTCACTGTGAATCAGGGTTTCTTCTCCATGTTTGAAATACACACTGTCAACACATTTTTTTTCTAGACTTCTTTCAGTTTATAGTTGTTGTGACAGCTACGCTCATGGCCCACATCTGTAGCAGGCGCCAGCTCTGGTATTTCTGGATTTATTTCCATCCATGAATTAATTTAGAGAACATCTTCCTGGAGTTGGTGGGTGGTGCAGACTGTTAATGTGCTCAGCTGCTACCCGAAAAGTTGGAGGTTCAAGTCCACCCAGTGGTGCCTCTGAAGAAGGATCTATTGGTGATCTATTTCCGAAAGGTCACAGTTTTGAAAACCCTATGGAGCACAGTTCTACTCTGGCACACATGGGGTCGCTATGGGTCGGAATCTACGGCAACTGGTTCTGGCCCTCTTCTTGAGGATCTCCACTTTATAGGTGGCCATCAGGCACCTCCTAGCCACACATAGAATAGAGGCTCTATGGGGGAAATATTCCTCGAAAGCTGATCCCCTGAGTGTCCTGTGCATCTATCTGTCTCAGAAGCCAGGCCTCTTTAGCTTTGTCCCTAGGTTGGAAGCCCTTACTTTGACCTTAGATAGTCATATCTGTCTTACTTTGCAGGTATTTTAACTCATAATGATAACGGTAATGTAGTTTGATGTGCTTGTCTAGCGTTAGATACGCAGTAACCAGGAAGCAGATGAGAAACCAGTTTAAATTATTATGAAGATTGTTTGCAATTGTCAAAGAAGGACTTCTAGCTGGAGGAAATAATTCTGTGAAATCAGTGGTAAATTTTAAAAAGATAACATATACTCATTGTAGCACATTCAGTTTCACAGAAATATTAAAGTAACAAATGAATCCCTCTCCTCCCAGTTTCCAAGCCCATCTGTTTCCAGCACTGATTTGAATCCTTCCATAATGTTTCTACCTACCTACCTAAACACACACACACACACACACACACACACACACACACACACACACACACACACACACACAGTTTTGTTTGTCTGTGGGATTGTGTTGTTGTTATTGTTTCTTTAAATAGATCATGGTATACATCCTATTCTACAACTTGTTCTACTCACTTTACAATTTAACCCATAGATCTGGATTACCAAGATTCAAATCTTAGTTTTTGCCACTCACTGGCTGCCTCTCTGAACTTCAGTTTCTTTATCTGTAAAATGAGCATAATAATGGTACCTACCTTGTGGGTGGAGCCCTGGTGGCATAGTGGTTAAGAGCTTGACTGCTAACCAAAAGATCAGCAGTTCAGATCCACCAGCTGCTCCTTGGAAACCCTATGGGGGCAGTTCTGCTCTGTCCTTATAGGGTCACTATGAGTTGGAATCGACTCGATGGCAGTAGGTATATACCTTGTGGGGTTGATGTTAGAAATATAATGGAGTCAATACCTTTCATATACTTAGAACAGGGCCTGGTATATTCCACACACCCAGTAAGTATGAGCCACGAGTAGTAATTGTACAATACTAATGGTAGTACTAGAAGTACTTACATAGCAGTCTTTTCAGTGGCTACCCAGCATTTCATTATGTGGGTAGATAACTTTTTTTTTTAAACCATTCCTCTATTTATGGCCCCTTGATTTTACTTACCATAGGACTTTCCTTATAAAGTCAGTACCCAGCTCTGGGCAAGATTTTGGTGAAGGAATTCCAGCTGTAGCCAGCTCCAGGGTTTGGGAATCTCTGGGGGAGGTGAGAGACAGGTCCGAGATATGGATAGAGCTTTATGTGCCCTTCCATCCCCAGCAAATTGCCATCGCTCGGGAAGGTGACCTGCTGACCAAGGAGCGGCTGTGCTGTGGCCTGTCCATGTTCGAAGTCATCCTGACTCGCATCCGGAGCTACCTACAGGACCCCATCTGGCGCGGCCCTCCACCCACCAACGGTGTCATGCATGTGGATGAGTGCGTGGAGTTCCACCGGCTGTGGAGTGCCATGCAGTTTGTCTACTGCATCCCCGTGGGCACCAACGAGTTCACGGCAGAGTGAGTACCCCAGGCAAGGGTCATCCCCAAACTGCTTGTCCCCTGAGAGTCATCAGGCTGCCAGAGTTCAGCCAGAAAGGCAGGCAGGGGTTGGTGTCCAACAAGTACTTATTGAGGCACATCCTGTGTGCCAGGTGCTGGATAAACAACAGCGCTGAGCAACTGCAGATAGTCCCTGGCTTCATGGAGTTTATGGGGAGAGAAGAAACATAGACATGAGTGAGTTAGATACTCAGGTACATATAATGAGGTTGCTTTGCAGCAAGGGCAGGAGAGGTAACAGATGCCAGAGAAAAGAGATGAGTGAATTATTGGATTAGAACTGACCCTTGAACAGTACCCGGGATTCAGATCTGTAAGAGAGAGAAAGGGGTATTCCAGAAAGAGTCACCAATTGTTGGAGTCAGAAATGGAGTGTGTATGCATATTCCGGTGTGTGCAGGTGTGTGAGTATGTGCACCTGGGGGTGGAGAGCTCTGGGACCCTTGTCTTTCAGAGACTGAAAGCTGGGTATGAGGGGGCCCTGATAAGGTTTTGTATTATGAACCTTCCTGCCCACATCATCCCTACAAAACTCCAGGGTTCATAGAATAGAGAAAGGCTTCCCTGGAAAGTCAGGACATGTCTTGCTCATGGTGGCCCCTGGTTTATGAAGCCATCTACTCCTGGAAACCCTGTCCTCAGAAGACAGAAGGAGAGCCCAGTTCTTCCTTCACCACCCAGCTAGAAATGGAGCATAAACTGATGAACAAGGCAGACAGAGCCCGCCCTTTAGGGGCCAAGAGCTCTAAAAACAAAGCGCCAGAGGCCCAGGCCTCAGGTGGGGGCCAGAGAAAGCTTCCCAAGGAAGCGGAGTTTGAGCTGGGTGAAGGAGGAGCAAGCTGTTCCGAGGCTGTTTTCAGAGCAGCTGCCAGTCCAGCACACTCTCAGCCACAGCAGTGGGGACAAGGAAACCTGCCCAGCTTAGGGTGAGAGCTGCTGCTTGAGGACAAGAAAACAACAGAGGGCTGCTGACCCCACCCCCCACCCCACCAGCAGCTGCTGCTCTTCGCCCACCGTGCCACGTCCCCGCCCTCTTGGCCTTCACTGGCCAGTTGGTGACCTGGTTTAGAAACGTCCCATCACCTCCCAGGTGTTCCTCTAGCTCCTTCATGAAACCAAGACAGCTTCTCCTTGACCTGCCTGAAATGATCAGCCACATGAATCTCAAGGGCTATTTGTTGTTGTTGTTTGCTTGTTTTTTTACAAATTTGTCTCTTCAAAGCTGATTTTCCCTACATCAGTGATGCAACAGATTGACACCTCTTTGTGGTTAAAAGGAAACCCTGGTGGCATAGTGGTTAAGAGCTACGGCTGCTATCCAAAAGGTCGACAGTTCGAATCCACCAGGCTCTCCTTGGAAACCCTATGGGGCAGTTCTGCTCTGTCCTGTAAGGTGGCTATGAGTTGGAATCGACTCGACAGCAATGGGTTTGGTTTTTTTCGGTTTTGTGGTTAAAAACCAGTTGCCATCGAGTGGACTTCGACTCATGGTAGCCCCACGTGTGTCAGAGAAGTACAGTGCTCCATAGAGTTTTTCAGTGGCTAATTTTTTGGAAGTAGATCACCAAGCCCTGCTTCCAAGATGCCTCCGGGTAGACTCAAACCTCCAACCGTTTGGTTAGCAGCCAAGCAGATTAACCATTTGTACCACCCAGGGACTGTTTGTGGTTACAAGGGATTATACTATAACCACAGCCACTGGAACAAATGAATCCTTCTCACTATTTCCCTCATACCCATTTTACACATTAAGAGAATTGGCCCACTCACTAACCCAAGACGAAGGCCTCTCCCTCCCTCTCTCTCCTACCACTCACTCTGCTGCTTCCTCTCTCCTGCCCCACCCCCAGGCAGTGTTTCGGAGATGGCTTGAATTGGGCTGGCTGCTCCATCATTGTCCTGCTGGGCCAGCAGCGTCGCTTCGACTTGTTCGACTTCTGTTACCACCTGCTAAAAGTACAGAGGCAGGACGGGAAGGATGAAATCATTAAGAATGTGGTAAGCCAGCTCGTGGCTGAGGCCTGGGAGGTGGCAGGGCCTGACAGCCAGGCTTTCATCAGAAAAGCCTAGGAGGGTGCACTGCTTATGGAGGCCACCTCCCCACACTGCAGGTAGATACCGAGACAGCTCCCAGGAATCTGATGTGGGAAGCCATGAGTCACTTGCTCATAACCCACTGAGATAAAGCAGGTCACACCACAGGCAGGGCAGGGCTCCAGACCTGAAACACACCTTCCCTGCCCAGTCAGGCTCCATTGGTGCTGGTTACTCATTCACACAGGCATTCACTGAACGCCAAGAGTGTGCTAGGCGCTGGCATGGGATAAATGCAGTTCAGTGGGTCAGCAAGGCTGCAATGGGAACACAGAGAAAGGCCGTCTAAATGAGGCTGGAGGGGTATGAGATGGTCAGAGAAGGCTTCCCATCAGAAACCATGCTTGAGCCAAGTCCAGAATGGCCAGCAGCAATAGCCAGGCAGAAAATGGGGTGGTGGGAGTGGGGAGGATGTTCAGACAGAAGGAACAGCAAGGGCAAAGGCATAGGGGCATGGAGAAGTGTGGTTGGAGCAAAGCGTGGATCTAGGGGGCCAGATGGAGAGGAGAGAGAGGTAGGAGCCACCTTGCAAAGGACCTTGTGACCCAAGCTAACTCTTGATTACCAGAGCCCATTGAGGGCCCATTGAAGGTCTTTAAACAAGAGAGTGACACAATCATTGAAGCATCAGAGCCCTGGACCTTGACGTCACTGAACCCTTCCCTTGCCCTACCTTCGCTGCTCTACCTCTTCCCCCGACAACTCACCTGTACATCCCTGCCCTCCTGCAGCCCCTGAAGAAGATGGCAGACCGCATCAGGAAGTACCAGATCTTGAACAATGAGGTGTTTGCCATCCTGAACAAGTACATGAAGTCTGTAGAGACGGACAGTTCCACCGTGGAGCATGTGCGCTGCTTCCAGCCACCCATCCACCAGTCCCTGGCCACCACCTGCTAGGCGGATGGCCCTGCAGGCCTTCGACCTGGAGGAGGAGGAGAAGCCGGAGAGGGAACACCACAGCCAGCCCACAGTAGTGTCCAACTGGACAGCCAGTGGGATGGACTGGAACCAAACAAGAGCCTCCCCAAGCCCATCCCCACCACTCCCAAGGGTGGGCCTGTGCATGCTCTCCCATGACATCTCCATGGTGGGTTTCCATAGTGCAAATGAAAAAAAAACAGGGCAGTGTGTGCTTTTTTTTTTCCTTTTTTACCCTCTGCTGCATTAAGAGCTTCTAGCTTCATCCTTTCTCTACCCAGTGACCCCACCCCGTATCTTTGGTTGCTTCCCAAGACCTCCTCCCAAGATGGTGACCCCCAACTCAGTGCCCATATGTGACCCCAGGCCTGAAGTCTCAGTGCAAGGAAAGGGCATGGCCATTCTCAGAGATGTCAGTGGGTCAGTGGCATGCCTCAGCTTACTGGCTTCTTCATCTCCGCTGGCTCCTATCCCTCCAGCTCCCTGGGTGGCATATTCTCCTGCCCCTGGGATTCCACTGCCAAACGTACTCCTGGACCAGGTGATGCAAACAGTGAACAGAGGAGAAGGTTCTTGATACTGGTGCTAAGATCAATGGTATCGGCTCTGCCCTTAGACTTCCAAGAACTACATCCTAATTCCCTCTCAAGGCAGTCCTAGAGAGAACTCAAATTCATTTACAACTGTATCCCACTGAGTAGAATTGGGAGTAGGAAGATGGTTAGGCCTGCTGTGAGGAAGCAGTGTTTATGAACACAGCTAGGAATTCCATCGGCCAAAGAAGAAAGCTTTTAGACCATCCCATCAGCTTGCTGATGAGGCTGTTTGTTTATTCATTAAGCAAATACTTAAGGGACATCAGGCCATGCAGGGTGATAGACATTGAGGATACAGTGTTGAATAAGCCCGACATGTCACTGCCCACAGCATTCACCAGCAACCAAATTAGTGTCTTCCTCTTTGCCAGAATCTTTCATCAACGCTAACTCCCAAGAGAAAGAAAATATTAAGGGATTATTTCAACAAATGCCAGAAATTTCTTGGGGACAGGGAGGTAAGGGATACAAATACTAGTCAATGAGCTTTTAATATTCAGAAATGGAGGGAACCTGTCTTAGTGAATGAGAACTTTCATTGTCCTAGAAGCTGAAAGAGTCAGCTTCCTGTTCTCTAAATGTTCTTAGAGTTTGGGTTATAGTTTCTACTCCTGTTTCTCAGATTGAGCCAAAATTCCTCTGCAAAATCTCCCACCAAGCCTGGGGAAACTGTTTAGAAGGACAGATGTCTTTGGGAAGTAAATGTCTCATTGCAGAGCACGTCATCTTCAAGGAAACCCTGTGGTCCTGAGCTTTGAAGAACATACATAATGTGACATTTGATATTCCTCTCCCCAGCTCAGGGAGGAAAATAGAAAAAGAAAAAAAAAAAACCTCTCCCCAGGGCCAATGGGTCATTTGTAACCCCATGGAAGGAGCAAAGGAAGGGCCCATGGCAAGAGGTTTGTGACATACTCATGCCCACCAGTGAGAAAGAGGCAGGACCCTCCACGTGGGGTCCAGAGGCCACCTACATCAGAACTTCCTGAGATTAGCAAATTTAAATGCAGATTCCTGGGCCCCAAATCCTACCTACTAATTCTGAATCTCGGGGGGTAGGGGTCAGGGAATACTTTCCACAAACAATCTGTGTAATTCTGCTGCATGTGGGAATGAGAACCCCTGCTGTAGCGGATTCATTCTGCTAATCCTGGACTTCAGGCTACCTCTGAGCCATGAGATAAAATATAGGGAAGGAAGGTGGTTCCAAGTGGAAGCCGGCGAATCCTCCTTGAATGTTGCTTTGTGGAGATTTGGATGGTTCATTTGACAAGATAGCTATTGCAACAATTCCTCCCCATCCAGTCCCACCACCCTGGATTCGTGACCCTGAATTTGACCCTCTGAACAGAACCACATCATCCTTAAGAGACCTGACCCCAGGAAGTTGAGGTCTTTACTTTCAGGAGAGAGATTTCATTTCCCCAGCTTGCCAGCAGCACTTATTTATGAATACTGAACAGGTTTAATATTCTTTCCTCCCCAGCATTACTGCCCCTTTTTAATTTTTTTGTGTGTTCAAGAACCAGGAAAAAAAAATACTTAAGTTTTAAAAAGTTAATTAAAAAATCTGTTTCAGAAACTGTCAAATGTACCATATTTGTATTAAGAGTTGGGGACTTTTGTACAATGAATACATTTATTTATGGTGACTTATATTTACGCTTGTGATCAAATAATGTTAAATTCTTAAATCATATTTGCTATGCAGCTGAAGATATTTTGATTTGTATTTTTGGGGTACCTATGTTCAGTTGATAAACATTTCCATCTCCATTAAAATTGCTTCCAAACTCGTGAAATCAGCATCTTCGTCTTGATACCTGGTCTTATTGCAGTCCTCACTAATCTGTGGTAGGCCATGTTAAAACTAGTCACTAAGAAAACAACCTTAAAGAGAATGGAAGAAGAGAAATAACAGGTCAGTACACCCTAAACTAATGACTTGCTTTCTCACTGGGGAAATTACATCTGTACAAATGAATCTGCACAAGGCCAGATACAGAAAGAGAGAGTTCCTGCCCTTGGGAATTTTGTAGTCTCTTTGAGGTAACTATACACCTCAGGTCCCTAGTTTTTTGAGGAAGAATGAGAACTCATTTATTGAGGTCTAATATATGCACAACGGTTAAGTGCTCAGCTGCTAACCAAAAGGTTTGTGGTTTGAACCTACCAAGCGACTCTGCAGGAGAAAGACCTGGTGATCTGCCTCTGTAAGGATTACAGACGGGAAAAAAAAAACCCTATGGGGTAGTTCTGCTCTATCACATGGGGTCACTGTGAGTTGGAATCGACTCAGCAGCACCCAATTACAATGTGTACCAAGAGGGCAATGGTGGTTCAATGGTAGAATTCTCACCTTCCCATGCGGGAGACCCAGTTTTGATTCCTAGCCAATGCACCTCATGCTCAGCCACCACCCATCTGTCAGTGGAGGCTTGTGTGTTGCTATGATGCTAAACAGATTCAATGGCGCTTCCAAACTAAGCTGAACTAGGAAGAAGCCTGGTGATCTGCTTCTGAAAATCAGCCAGTGAAAACCCTATGGATCACAACAGCCTGATATGCAACAAGTCATGGGGATGACGCAGAACCAGGCAGTGTTTCATTCCATTGTGCATGGGGTCACCATGATTGGGGGCCGACATCAGCGAACAACAACAGCATTGTGTGTCATACCATGTTAAATCATCTCCATCTGTTCCTTTTACTCAACCACAGTCACCTGTGGTATATTCCACATTTTCCAAAGAGGCTATATGGTGTGTTTATTCCCACACAGTCACTAAGTGACAGAGCTGGATTTGAACCCAATTCCAAAGCCTGGGCTTTTGCTGTCACACTACAATGGACTAGTCAACCAGGTCATACCCCAAAACTAGACCTGGAGGTTTGGCCACTGGACTTTTTAGGGCTTTGGGTCTATAAGATTGAGTGGAGGCTGGCATCAGGAGAGGGTTAGCATGGTTGGTACCTGGGGAGTTCCCAAGACGGACGGGAAAAGGTTGGTGCCTGGGAACCTCTCACATGCATCAGAAACACGTTTGCTAGCCCCAGTGCTAGGAGCCTTACATTGCACACAGCACTAGCTTCCCCAAAGGCCACCCAATTCCTAGGGCCGTTACTGACTCCCTACTCCTGTGACATTAGGCAGCCCTCAAGCTCTCAGGACCTTGGTTTCCTCATCTACCAAGTCGGACATGATAATCCAACACCCCTTCCATCTCTGATATTCTGATTCTAGGTAATTTCCAACTGGTTTAATTTGAGGGGCCTGATGACTACTTCACACCCTCACAATCTCCATGATATGTCACAACCTCCGGGAATTCTCATATATATTTGAGCTAGCGTCGCTGGGGAAATATTAACCCTGAGTGATGCTCAGTGAAAAGGGGTCCCATGTTCAAATACATTCGGGAGATGCTTCATTCATGCTCTTTCCCTTCCTGAAGATCCATAGTCCTGTAAGGATTCCAGCAGAACCTAGTTAACCTGGGTCAACACCACACTTCCTCCACGGCTGTGACTTCATGCTACGGGCATGGAAGTCCATTTTAAGATGTAACAAACTCCCACAGGAGAAGGACCACTGACATACAGTCAGTGACAATACCTGTGCACAATTAGGGAAGCAGGGATTCACAAGTCAGGCACCTGGCAAAGTATTGGAGGGTTGCAGATGGAAATGGAGAACCATCTTGATGATGGGAGAGAACAGGGTAGCCGGGAAGGATGCACCCCAGGGAAGATACTGTTTCTGGGGGCCCTGGATTGGTTGAAGGCCGGGACTCCATGGTTTTGAGAAGCACTTGTTGAACTCTCACTATTTGCAGACTCTGTACATGATTCAAAATCTATTGTGGTCACTGACCTAAAGGAACTCAGGGAGTTATAGGAGGAATAAAACATAAACACAGTGAACTAGAGATCAAAGACTATTGTGAGTCTAATAATCACTAATAATCATTGAGCTTTCTCCATGCTAGGCATTAGAAACAATGCTTTAAATGCTTTACTCAACTTTTAGAAGGTAGGTACTATTATTTACCCCATTTTCTAGATGAAGATACTAGGCACAGATTTTACAGCTGGTAAGGGATGGAACTAGAAGTCAAAGTCTGGAAAGTTTGGATCCAGGTTCAGGTTCTTAACCACTAAGCAAGTAACACTATGCTGTACCCGGTCTCTATCCTATGGTATTTTATCCCAAGAGAGGGGCTCGCTACACTTTGGGGAGATCAGAGGGAGAGAGCCCTTCCAGCTAGAGTAACGTGGAGAGGGTAAGGCTTTCATGCAAGAGCTTCCATATAACTCTAAACTTGAAAAATGATCATTTGAACACATGGAGATGGAGAGGGGAGCATGGGAGCATCAAGAGATTGAAAAGAAGTAATCTACCAACATCTAATGTTGACCAAGAGATGGCCTTGACCATCACCAGCTTAGATTCAGGATAAACATTCTCCTGTCCTGAG